GTCTCGGGCTCACTCCTCCTCCGGTCCCGGGAGCGCGGACTCGGCCGGGGCACGGGGCTCGCTCCACCTGCTAAGTGGCGACTTCACAGGAGACAACAAAGAAAGAAGCCGCTCCTTTCTTTTTGCACCAAATTACGGATGACCCGCAGCCAGCCGGCCTGCTCCTTCCCCGGCCGCTCTCCTCCCTCCTCACGCATACATTTCGATGCTCGTCCTCGGCAGCAGGAAAACTTTTGGAGTCCTTGAAGGCGGGGTGGTGCTGGCTGCCGGCTCGTGCGGAGCGGGGAGCGAGCTCCTGCTCTCCCTTCGGGTCCGCAGCTCAAGTTTTGTCCTGTCCTAGGAAAACTTCCTGCGATGCTGCATGTCTCTGCAGTTGCTACTGCCGGGGCTCTTGGTTGCCTCTGAAACAAGAGTCCTTTTCCATCCTCCTCGCCACAGCCACCGTTTGATGCGACATCTTTCCTTTTGGGCAGAAATGAGGAAACAAATATAACAAGGAAAAACACTGAACAGGAGAAAAAACGAGGTCGAACGACTGTTACCTTGTTGCTGAAGGTTGGGGTTGGTGTTTTATTTTTTTCCCAGCAGTTGTCTGGAGGAGGAGGAGGAGGAGGAGGAGGAGGAGGAAGAGTGCATTGGTGGAGATGGAGGGGTGTGTGTGCATATAGGGGATCCTTGGTACACAACCAACTCCAGTGGGCACGCTGTGCGGCTTGTAGGGTGCACGGCTGGCGCGGACGCGGACCGTGCGGAGCGGAGTTGCAGCGGGCGCTCGCTCGCGCCCTGGTTTGCGCGCTCTCTTCCTCCCTCACTTTCCCTCTTCCTCCCGCTCCCCTTTCGCCCGCCCGCCCGCCGGCGCTCGATCTGACAGTTCGCTCTGCGTCCCTCCCTCTCTGAGCGGGGACTGTCGAATGTTTACCCTCCGCCGCGAGCGCGCACCCACCACCACACTTTCCCAAATACAAGGAAGTCGAGCACCAGGGCCCCCGCTGATTGGCTACCTGCTGGGTGATTGGCAGGCCCGGAATGACTGGCTCCGGACGCGAGGCCCCCCCTTCCGGCCGTTCCGATTGGTTGCTTTTTAATTTAGGCAGCGCGTCGTCGACGCTGGAAAGCCGCGGTCCCCCAGGCTCCCGCCCCCTCGCCACTTTCTCCGCCCCGCCCCTCTCCCGCCACCCCTTCCGCCACATCTTAACTCTTAGTGTCCGGCCGAGTGGTAGGCGTAGCCTCCGCGGCTCGGGGCGTTCGCTGCAGGCCTGGCAGGAGGGAAGGAACCGGGAGAGAAAAGGGACCGAGGGGGGCAGGATCAGAGGGAAACAAAGAGGGGGAAATCGATGCAGTACAGCCACCAGCCCACTCCACCCAGGACTGCGTCGCGTTGCAGCCCTCGCGCCCCCTGCCACCCCGCAGACTTGGGAAGCGCCCGGCGCGGTGCACCTTTCGAGCTAATACCTATAGACAGAGGTGTCCCCAGTGGTTTCAAAGTTTCCTCTTTCCGTCGCCAGCCGGTTCCCGTCTCCGTCTCAGCGTGGGTGGGAAAGGGGAGCTCGCAGCGCCCAGAGCTCGGGACGCGGCCAGGCTTCTTGGAAATCCGCCACCGCAACTTTCCGCAGTGGCTGCGCGCCGGAGGCGGCCCCCTTTGTCTAAGGTCTCGGATGCCGTCG